GGAATACTTGTGTCAGTTTCCATTGCTATAAAAAAATCAGACACAGATAATACAGCACTGGATAATTTATAAAGAAGAGAGGTTTATTTGGCTCATGGGTCTGCAGGCTGTACAAGAAACATAGTGCTGGCATCTGCTTCTGGTAAGGGCCTTAGGAAGCTTACAAGCATGGTGGAAGGTGAAGGGAGAGTAGGCAGTGTCACATGGCAAGAAGGAGGGAGAGAGGGAGGGAGGGAGAGAGACAGGGAGAGAGAGTAAGAGATCCCAGATTCTTTTAAACAACCAGATCTCGTGTGAACTAAGTGGGTGACAATTTACCTATCATCAAAGGGATAGCACTAAACCATTTATGAGGGATCTACCCCCATGATCAAAACACCTTCCACGAGACCCCACCTCTAACACTGTAGATCACACTTTAGTATGAGATTTGGAGGCCACAAACATCCAAACTATATTAACACTGTTCTATTCTGCTTTTCTCCTAAGGTGTTTTTCTAATTGCAAAGGCTGGAAAACTTAAAATTGCCTTTCTCAGATTTTGTTTCAGTTAGGACTTTGGTTCAAAATTAGGTCTAACAGCTAACACTCACATGCTAGCTATATGCCAGAAACTGCTCTAAGTACATCTCACATATTATTAACTCATATAAAACTTCCAATAATCCTACGAAGTTGATACAATTATTCCCATTATACAGATGCAGAAACTGAAGCCCAGAGAGGTTACTTGCCTAAAGTTACAGTCAATAAAAGGCAAACCCAGGTATCCCTGATCTAGAATCTGTACTGTTAATCATATTTCTACTGATAGATAAAAAGGCATGGGCCCCCTCACTGACCCCCCATTTTGTTTCTTTTTTACAGCTCATCTCATGGAACACACTTTGGCAAATGCTGTTACAGAAGTTCCTTCATTTATTTACTTAAATTTATCTATGAGCCAGCATTGTTCTGAAAGTTCTAGGCATTGCAAAAGGCAAGAAATAGAAATGAGACATTATCATTTGAAAGGAAGCAAAATCATTCTTATCTATAAAATGGATAATTATATACCTAGAAGATCAAGTCTAAGAGATACTAGTATTTATTAGTACCAGTATAAAAATTTAGAAAGGTGGCCAGTTAAAAATGAAATACATAAAAGCCAATATCTAGACACCAGAAATAAAATATGATATGGAAAAAATCCTTTTCATAATACCAACAAAAATAAAAAACTTAATATAGATTTTAATATAATGCTTAATATTATAAAAGATTATACAGCATGATTTATAAAAGAAAGCTTGAAGCAACTTCAATGTGCGGTGTTAGGGGAACGAATTATTTGGCAGTCCTAAAGAGAGTTTTCACATAGAATTTCCATAACATGGGAAAATGACAGAACCTTTTGTAAAAGAAGACACAAAATTCTATTTATATTAAAACATGTTAAAAATACGTGTGTGGCTGGACACAGAGGCTCAGACCTGTAATCCCAGTACTTTGGGAGGCTGAGATGGGAGGATTGCTCGAGGCCAGTAGTTTGAGATTAGCCTGAGCAACATAGCAAAACCCTATCTCAAAAAAAAAAAAAAAAAAGTGTGTATATATGCATATACACATAGACAAATGAATATACTGTAGTAATACCAAATGTTTCATATTTGATATCAAAATATTATTCAGAGTGGGATTTCAAAGGCTTTTTTCTTCTTTAGATCTTTTTATAGTTCTAATTTTCCAAAGCACACATTACTTTTATCATCATAAAGATGTTAAAACTTGAGTTAATAATTCTAAAGTCAATCTAAGGATAATGGGACTTCCCTATTCTCTAGGTAAGAGGGTCATGTTAGGTTATTTCAGATTGTAAGTGTACATTGTGCCACATCTAGTCAGATGCTATTGACATTTAAGATTATATAATAATGGACTGGAAATGTTTAGCCTTCCAGCTATGCATCGAGGCACAGAAATTTTTAGGTAAAGCCACCTGGCATTCACCCTCATGAACATACTTGGATCATCTCTCATGCACACTATTACCAACATATATATGGAATAGCTATGTCCTGTCTCTTCAGTTCTTTGGTCATTCCTTGAAATTCCTTCTTTCCCTTGCTTCTCTCTCTTTAGACACCCGATCCTACTTCAAACCTGGCACAGTTTCTTCATCTACGGGACTTGATTCATTCTCCCAATGCCTTCTTTCTTAAGTGACTTGATTTTAACCAGGCCTCCTTTGTCAGTCACCCTACCTGGAAAGACTCAGGCCAGAAGGACAGAGGGGAACCTTCTTTTTTTGCTCAAATGGAGTAGCATCTAAGGACAAATTGTAAAAAATGATGCAGACAATATCTTAACTAGTAATAAAACACCTATGTTAATACTAGCATTTCAGTATTATATGAAATAAATAACAAAATAAAGATACATTTTGTTCTGGTATTATAATAACAAGCTGATCAAACAGCCTTCCAGGTTGAGGAAAAGGAATGAACCTTTCAGATAGAAGTGGAAAGAAAAATCAGTGAAGGAAGGGATGTATGTGGAGGAGGCTTTAGCTTGAGAAATAGCCCAAGAAAGAAACCTCCATCAAATTATCAGGAAAGGGCAAACTCTGTGAGGGGAATAGAAATAGAAAGGGACTTAGTACAGAAAAGTAGGTGTTGACAAAATCACTGAAAGAGTTAGAGGAGCACAAGTCAGGTGCCTCTGGAGTTACCGAGTTCAAGAGCATACAACCATAGCTCTTTTCCGGGTTAGAAGGAGCGCCTCTGCTAGCTCCTGCCTCTAATTTCCTCTCAATATCCATGAGGCTATCCATGACTCTGGAACACCAAGTGAGCGTGCCAAGCAGAAAAGACGGCAGGAAGATGGCCTCTGTCTCATTTCTAGCTAATTAGTTTTGGTTCTGTTTCTGTTTATATCATGGTTTTCATGGAAAAGTTCACCTTAAGTTCTAAATCATTAACTTAGAAACCAATCTTTCAAAAATATTCCATTTGTAATCTGGCGTCCTTGTATCCTTAAAACCACCAAGAAGACAAACAAAAATCATCTCCTTAAATAAAAGCTAAATAAAACGAGTCCTTGGGATATGTTCCATTGTTGTTAATTACATTTCTCCCTCAAATATCTTTACACATGTAACGCATAACAGTTTTACATTTACAGGACTTGAAAAAAAACAGCAAGGCTTTATATAATATTACCAAGAAACGATTTATCAGAAAAGTTTGCTTTTTACACCAGTGGGTTGGGTTGCACCAAGTTTTTGCTTATTTTTGGCTTCTTGACAAATTCTTCTTTGCTGCTAATGTAGTAGGTAATGCCTATCTCAGAAGTGATTTTTAATTATTGTGTATGGGGGCTTCGAATACATTAATAAATCTTGAGGCAAAAAGAGAATGATAAAAATAACACTTCAAAAGAGTACAGGAAAATGAAAAATGAACTTTCATGACATTCAATGAAGGAGCAGGTATGCAAAGTGATATCTGTTTTCTAAGATATACATTTCATTTTTTGTTTTATCCTTTTACTTTGTAACATAAGCAATTTTGGAAAGACCACAGCTATTAGTGATGTCTACATAATCATACTAATGAAGTGCACAGAAGCTTAAATGAAGTATTTTATATGCTCCCTTACAACCATTTGAAAATTTACTTTGGAAACCCCTGCTCAAATGCACCCCCTCCCCACCCCCAAAGGAATTCTTGTGCTGTCTTCTTCACTTTTCCAGTTGAGCAATTTAAGCTAGAGGAAACCAAGCCCTTGAGCAACTGAGTACAGTTAACGGGAAAAACCACTAGGAAGGCAATCAGAAGAACTAGCTACCAAATTATTTGCTTGAGTCATTTTCTCTTATATTGTCACAGATGAAAAATTACACTCCACGTGGTGAACAAACCTAACGCTAAGGCATATTTTGTGTGCTGCACAGTGTTACTCTGTTTCCTAAGTAACCTATTGAAACAATATAAGGTATACATCTATTAACGCATTTAGTGATGATACTGGAATTTGTGAAATGTGACAGAAAGGATAGATGAAGAAAGATGAGGAGAGACAGGTATTAATTGTTCTAACAGTACAGGCTGTAATAAAGGCCAATAATCATTTGAATTCCTGCGCCTTAACGTGATTCTAAAGATTGGCTTACCTCAGGTATTTGGAAAGTCTAAATACTGTATTTGCTGTAGAAAATTCATCCAACATACAATTCAATTTTAAAATTAAACCTTTTGTCTAATCTTTAAGATATCTGATGTTATAATGCCCATTATCACACTTTATTTAAATGAGATCAAACTCAGCGAGTTTAAAAAATAACCCAACTTCTCTCTTCCCTTATTATGGCTGGCCTCTTATACTTCTTTCTCTTTAGTATAATGCTAACCGAAAGCAATATTCTTGCCTCTCCACTTCTTAACTGAAGCTTTGATCTCATCTGTGTTTATGTGAAGAACTCGCTCTGGGAGAGTCCCTGTCAAGACATCCATTGTAACACCCGCTCCTACTCATGCTTTCAGCGCTGCCCTTGGACGGAATCCACCCACACCTTCCAGACACGCTAGGTGTGGGCTCGGAAACGCAAGATGGAGGGCGGGAGGGGAGTCCCGGCGCAAGGCACGGACTCGAAGTTGAAAAAGAAGTGTTTACAAGTGAGGCTTTTAAATAAATCACCACTATGGAGGGCATTTCCTCCGAGCCCTGGGCGCCGGCCTGAGAATCCTCTGCCGGACGCCAGGGGACTGGCCACGCTGACCCCGTCAGACACGCGACCCCGCGGCTGGCGCTGGCGTCCGCACTCGCGCGACCCCGCGGTTCCTCCCGGGAGCGCCGTCTAACCGCTCCCGGCGGCGGCTTCCCAGAGAGCCGCGGAGCCAGTGCCCCACGCGGGGCAGAGCTGCGGCGCGGCCCACTGGCCTGATCCCTTCCCTCCACCGCTGGGCGGGGCTCGCGGCCCCAGACCCTGACGCTCCGCCGCCGCCCCTCCCCGCGCTCACCTGCTCGTTCTCTTTCGGCCGCTGTCCGCGCCGCCGCGGGCTCGCATCGGGATCCCGCTCGGTCCCTGCCGCCGCCTGCTCCGCCAGCGCGTCCCCGTCCTCGTCGCGCTCCCCGCCGTCGCCGCCCCGCAGCAGCTCCCTGGCTGAGCACATCCCGCCACCAACTCCTGCCGCCCGGGACAGCCGCCGGAGGACCACGCCGCGACGCACTAGGGAGCGCCGCCGCCCGAGGGCTGCCCTGCGATCTGCCGCACCCGCAGCTGACAGGAGCCTCCGGAGCGCGCCCCGCCGGCCTGGGCGCCTGAAGTACCAGCCCGGCCCCTCCTGTCACTGGCTCGCCCAACCCCCGGCTGTCGGGGCGGAGCCATACAGGGGAGGGGCCAAGACAGGGGGCGGGGCCAACGGGGTGTGTTGGGGGGGATGTGTGTGAGAGATTGAGAGGCCGACAGACTGAGAGAAGAAGGGGGTTGTGTGAAAAACTATGGACATAGACTGCATGAGGGAGATTGTACACGATGAGAGAGGCTGTGTGTATGTATGAGGGACATTGTGCGTGTGTAAGAAACCATTAGAGAGTGTGAGACAGACGTTGAGCGTCATTTGTGTGTGTAAGAGAGATTCTATAGAAAAGAAACTGCATATAAGAGATTGTATGCACTTTGGGAGGCCGAGGCGGGAGGATTGGTTGAGCCCAGGAGTTGGAGACCAGCCTGGGCAACCCCGTCTCTACTAAAAATACAATTAGCCAGGCGTGGTGGTGGCATTTTGATTCCAGCTACTCAGGAGGCTGAGGTGGGAGGATTTCTTCAGCCCGGGAAGTCGAGGCTGCAGTGAGCAGAGATCACACCACTGCACTCCAGCCTGGGTGACAGAGCCAGACCCTATCTCAAAGAGAGAGAGAAAGAGAGAGAGAAAGAAAGAGAGAGAGAGTGTATGTGTATGCAAGAGACTGTGTGAGAGAGAGACTGTATGAGGGAACAACAGAACACAGAGAGATCAAGTGTGAAAGAGAAACTAGTGTGAGAGAGCCAGTAGATATATTTAAGAGTGCATTTGTGTAAGAGATGAGTGTGTGTGGGTTTGCATGTGAGAGAGAAACACACATACACCCAGTTACACTCTCCAGCAGGGTCCCCCTGTTCTTGCCTGAGTAGCTGCCCATCCTTTTCAAGGAACACACATTTCACTGTCCCTCTTGTTCCTTTAGCCTCCTTTCCTAGTGTCTCACTGAAGGTCTGTGTATTTGTCCCTTTCTGTTGAGTGCTTCCTAGTGTGTGTAGTTTATTGGAGCCTTGGGTCGTTTGATGGTGTATCCAATGGTGTATCTTTCTATAACTGGGTAAGAATACATCTTTCTTAGTGGGTGGTAAGGGGAATATATCCAATTTGTAATTCTTTTTTGTACTACCCCATCCATTTTGTTCAAGGAAAATGGAGGGGTGTTTAAATAAAATATACTTTTTTCTGTGTATGCCTTATCTGTACATTGAGAAAGCGATGGGTTATTGTATAGGTAAAATATCAGAAAAGTAAATATGGAAAGTAAACATGTGTACACATGAAGAAGAGTAAGAGTTATTTGGGACCTTCTATTAAAATGTTTTCAGGCCCAGAAAAGGAATTAAAATAGGCAGAATCCCATAGGCTTATTTTTAAGACCTGTTTCCTGTTTTTTGTAGTCAGGAGACTCTCAGTCTTTCTCACACACCCACAATCTTTCATACCCACAATCTCTCTCATACACACATGATTTCACATACATATAGTTTGTCTCATATATATACAACCTCTCGCACACACCATCTCTCACACATAGTTTCTCACACACGCCCTCTCTAATTGTCTCTTCCACAAACAGTCTCTAGGGGCCAGAAAATATGCTATTGGATATCAAAAATTAGAAAGAAAATGAATCTGGCTCATTCCCTTTCTTAAAAGTCTTTAAAACCCCAGAAGAGAGTATTTAATATTATATACGTATAATCAGAAACAAATGTCACCATGGGAACCCAGTAGCCTCTCTGATGACCTCATTATTTTTCCCCTAAAGACAACATTTTCATTCTTGGAATTTTGGTTTGTCTATTAGTAGTGTTTCTTATAAAAACCAACTTTTTTTTTGGCTGGGCACAGTGGCTCACACCTGTAATCCCAGCACTTTGGGAGGCCAAGGCAGGCGGATCACAAGGTCAAGAGATGGAGACCATCCTGGCCAACATAGTGAAACCCCATCTCTACTACAAATACAAAAATTAGCTTGGTGTTGTGGCACACGCCTGTAGCCCCAGTTACTCAGGAGGCTGAGGCAGGAGAATCACTTGAACCCGGGAGGCAGAGGTTGAGTGAACCGAGATCACGCCACTACACTCCAGCCTGGCGACAGAGCGAGACTGTCTTAAAAAACAAAAAAATAAAAAATAAAAATCAACTTTTTTGGATAAAACTTTAGAATTATATACAGCAAACCAGAGAACATCAGCTCTTTATTGCCAACCCCATGAACTAAGGCACATTTTGAAGTTCTCTCTCTTGGCATTTGATTGGTAACTTGATAAGTCAAACAACTATGCACTCTTCAATCAGGCTAAAGTGAGCAGAAATTCTGTATATATAAAAAGATTCAGAAGGCACAGAATATTTATATAGCTGGGCAGGTACAATACAGAAGTTAGCTTTGTTCAGCTTAGGGGACAAGTCTTAAAAAGTCCTTTAGAGTATACTGTCTGGTCTTTTGTAGATTCTGACTTCTTGATTCTTTGAGAAGTGTATTCATTCAGTTTTTTAGCAGGTATTTATTCAACGCTAATAGGCCTTGGGTCCACTCTAAGTCCCTATTCTCTTATTGAACGCTACTAGGCTGTAGGCCCAAGTCTAGGTCCCTATTCTTGTGAAGCTTCATTTTAATCCAATTCTTGTGTTATTTTCTTGGCAGAAGTCAAGAACTTTCACCAAAGAGTAGCCAGAATCCTTAGATCTCCACCTAGCAGTGAACCTTTTTTTTTTTTTTTTTTTTTCTAATATCATTTACCTTTAGTTTAGTGAGTGAGTTCTTCTTTAAACTGTTACTCTTTTGTTCATAGAGTCTGGTTTTTCCTGGAGATCTGGAGAACCACCTCTTTAAATAAATCTAGCGTTTTACACAAAAGACATTATCCAGATTACATCCTAATCTTATGGGAGACAAGAGCTATTTTCACTCTGCTGCACGATGTGAAAAATATACACATAAAGCTAGCACTGCCAGTTTCCCAAGGGAAATATAAGATTGTTATTACCTAGGCAACTATAACATGTTGCTCTCAAATCATACGTAGTTTTTTTGTTTGTTTGTTTGTTTGTTTGTTTTTTGACAGAGTCTCACTCTTCCGCCCAGGCTGGAGTACAGTAGCGTGATCACAGCTTACTGCAACCTCCGCCTCCCAGGCTCAGGTGATCCTCGTGCCCTGCCTCAGCTCTCTAAGTAGCTGGGACTACAGGTATGTGCCACCATGCCAGGCTAATTTTTCTATCTTTGTAGAGATGGGATTTTTGTCATGTTGGCCAGGCTGGTCTCGAACTCCTGCGCACAGGTGATCCACTCACCTTGGCCTCCCAAAGTCAAATCATATGGAGTTGTGACTTTATTAGTGTGTTTTGTGCTTTCCCAGAAATTAATAAGTGGCAAGAAACAGATGCATGTCTAAGGAATGGCCTGTCTAGTGCAAATGTGGTTTGTGCAGTTGCTATGGGAACAAGGACTTTTAATTCTTCACTTTCATGCCTTTATTATTTTTAATGTTCTTCTTATTTCATTTGTACATCTTTCCAGAGGGAGAAACGAGCAAATCAGAGAGTTCTGGACTCAATTGCTAATATAATCTTAGAAAAACAAATGCAGTTATTTGTGGAAACTACCCAAAACTTCATTTGTTGGTTTGATTTTTGACACGCTATAATGTTATTCTAAGCTTCCTTATATGCTTTAATTTTTCTCCTATGATTTTCATCTGCTTCCTTTCTATTTAGCATGGCACAGGGAATTATTTTTGAGATGTTTGGAATATGAACCAAAATTCCAGGAAACTGTATGGTTCTTGCACAATTTATGTAAATTTAGAGGAAAGGAAACTTGGAGAACCCTCACTTCCTTTAGTGTTCTTTCAGTTTAAGGAAGCTCTATTAGCTAAAACAATGCTCTATTAATGCTCTCTTTCCTTCCCAGACAGTCCATTCTGATGGGGAGAAGGAAAAATGTGCTCTTTCTGTTGGAATTAATTTTTGTTTTATTTTTTGAGACGTTTAGAGTCTTGCTCTGTAACCCAGGCTGGAGTGCAGTAGTGTAATCTCAGATCACTGCAAACTCCACCTCTTGGGTTCAACTGATTCTCCTGCCTCAGCCTCCCAAGTAGCTGGGATTACAGGCATGTACCATCACACTGGCTAATTTTTGTATTTTTAGTAGAGACGGTGTTTCACCATGCTGGCCAGGCTGTTCTCAAACTCCTGACCTCACGTGATTTGCCCACCTCAGTCTCCCAAAGTGCTGGGATTACAGGTGTGAGCCACTACGCTTGGGTTGGAATTAATTTTTATTCTCTCTGCTCTATTAACGTTCTCCAGTGTGATTTTGCTGCATTCAAATGTACTGCTGAGTTCTCTCCTTACAGTAGGAAGGTAGATTAACAGTTGTTTTATTAAAAAAAAAAAATAAAGTATTGAGAAGGCTATTTAAAATTGCTAGAGAAGTGGAAATATAGACAATTATTGAGCACTATTTAATATCTGTTAGTAATTTTTAAAATGTTGAATAAAACCTGATGTAAACAATATTTTAGAGAGATGGTTAAACTCAGGCATTGCTAGGAGCTCTGAAAACTGATAGCATTCTTTTGGCAGTACATACTCAGAACCACAGAGATATCTGTACCTTTTGGCCTACTAACTCCAGTACTAGGAAAGGATTAAAAAAGGGGTGGGGTGGGGGACAGAGAGATGTTGTCCCAAGGGTACAAAGTTTCAGTTATATAGGAAGAGTAACTTTTTGAGATCTATTGCATAGCATAGTGACCATCGTTAATAATAATGCATATTTCAAAACTGCTAAAAGGGTAGACTTTGAATGTTCTTACTACAAAAAAAAAAAAAAAAAGATGATATGTGAGCTGATGGGTAACTTAATTATCTAGATATAATCTTTCCACAATGTATATATATATAGAAACATCACATTGAACCTTGTAAATGTATACAATTATTATTTCAAATAAAAATGAAAATTAAAAAACAAAAAGGGAAAAGGGTTGTTTGCATAAAGATGTTCAAGGCATAATTAGTGTGAAAAGCTGAAAGTAGCCTAAATGTCTTCCTGTAAGAAAATGCCTAAGTAA